CTCGTCGATCTAATTTTCATCGCGCACTTTATTATTATTTTTATCTATATTGATGTAACTGCCTACAGTTTGTAATAGTTTAATTAGGACTTTTTATTTCCATTTACCACTTTACTTTTCAAGGGTTTGTTTTTGGCTATGTAAATACCCGAAGCCTTGTAATAGCTTAGCTTATTTTCCGCACTTTAAATTCCGCAAATATAAACTATTAGATGTATGATAATAGGATGCATGACAAGAATGTATGATTAATTTTAAAACAGTTAGATAACCCAAACATGTGCAAAGATAAATAATCTGAAATTGAATCACTCGCACATGCGCACTCCTAGGGTACACTCCCACTTGGTTGCCTTCGGTAAACGGTCATTGAGTATATGATGTTTTAGTGGTCGCCCTTTTGTCCAAAGATCAAAGTTGCCTCGGAAAGGTTGCCTCGGATATTGTTGCCTCGGATAAATGATCTAAGACATTAGGGTTACTACTAAGACGTCCTAACATTGCTCTAGTGACCATACGTCCCTTTAGAATTGACCCTCAAAACTCCAACGACGTTGCTACCTACTCACTAATAGTGGGATAGCATTGTCCAAAGGAAACAAGCATAGAACGATTCTTTTTTCGAGTTGGTAGATTAGTTCTTAAGTACTTGCTCAATCCAAAACAAAATTTTTCACACTTACACTCCTTTACAAACAAAGTTTTCAAAAACACTTCATTACACTCTTGAAGACAGAAACAAGAGTTAAATCGAAGTCAAAACAAAAGCTTTTCAAATCACACAAACACAAATAAAACAATTTTGAAAATTATGAGCAAGTACCTAAGAGCCCGTAGATAACTACGGATAGAAAGGGTACTAATACCTTCCCTTTCTATAATCTACCCCCCGTACTCAGAAATATCTCAAAAAAGGATTTTTTCTGTGCTTTTTTCCTTTCCTTGTTGGATAAAATAAAAGACGATGGCGACTCTTGCTTACCGCGACATTTTGCGAACACAAACGCAAAACGCAAACCAACAATTTCCTTAAAAAATAGGGAAACACGCCCCGGTTCTGGCCACCGTATCACATAACTGTCGACTCTGTTAGGGATAATAATAAGTGGGGTGTACCTTAGGAATAGTTTATTATATTGTTTTCAATTGTTTGATCTGTTTGCTTTATCTTTGTGGGTTTTGTATCGGAGTTACTATAGATCCTAACCCGGATCTGGGGACACCTTTTACGTAAGTAGCAATAGACTGTGAGGGAACTGTACGGCATAGACCGATACGGTTGAAGCAGTAGCTACATTGGTGTGACACATTAGTTGGCACCGATATCCCTTGTGGAGGAACAAGGAGAGTATGGGGCTGCTAATGGGTCATTAAGCATCAACTGACCTTAGAACCTATAATTGACCAACTTGGCCATAGAAAGTAGCAGTATGTGAAACAACCGGCTGACCAATCAACTGATAATGAAATCAATGAAGTCGCCATCGAACGTCTTTTATCCCACATGAAGGGAAAGGTAAACATCGAGAAAACCTGATGAGGGAAAAGTCACAGTCTTGCAACCGATAGATTGGGTAAGGGAGTCTGTTACGCGAGGGGAAGGTATTATCACCCCACACGCCCGTAGTACTCTACGGTATCCACTCTTGTTATCTATCTTATGGGTGTGTTTAATCTATATACTGTACAGGAAATGCATGCAAAATAAAAGAGAAAAGAATGTAGGGAAAATGAAAAGTTGTGCTCGCTCGGGCCCTACCCTAATGCCTACGTATCCCTTTTAAGGAATCAGAGCAGCCGTAGTTCGGCTAACAAGTTTTTGTTGGTTTGTATTTTTTAATGAACAATATTAATTTCGCCTTCTGCTGCAACTCGACCATCGGAGACTTACGCGTCATCACAAAAGTGAATTAATATGCTCTTCTGAAAAAGTTTGGAGAAAATGTGCCTGGGCGCACAAAAAGTTTGAACTTGTTTGTTTTTGTAATGAACGATATTAATTTCGCCTTCTGCCATAACTCGACCTTCGGAGACTTACGTGTCAGCACAAAAGTGAATTAATATGCTCCTCTGAAAAGTTTGGAAAGAAAGGCCCGAAGGCAACAAGAATTTTTGTGTTGGTTGGTGTTTTTTGCTTGTAGATAACGGCTAGTTGATCTCGAGAGAGAGATTTTAGCCATGTCTCTACTTATTCATGAAATGATTCTTTGAGACTTGAACCATGCCGAGGCTTAGAATAAGAGAACAATAAGGTCGAGAAGAAACTCGCTTATCGTCTCACAGACTTAACGAAGATATGATTCTTGTCAGTAAGTTTTTAAGTATTTTAAGGTTTGTAAAAAGAAAAATTTTGTTTTAAATGCATATGCAAAGGAGGAAAGAAAGTCACCTGAAGACTAGCCTATTTCTAAACCTAATTTTATCATGCGTTGTTAGACCTAAGTCAAGGATGAATAAAAGGGAAACGTCTACCTAATGTTAGCATGCATATGGTTTGCGACAAAGCCCTACTTCTCATGATTTCTAGAAAGCCGTAAAGAAACATGATAAAGTGCAGAAATGAGGGATAAATTGAGGTTGTGATGATACCGAACAGAGAAGGTCTGTTGCCTCTTCAAAGCCATTTAAGCGATAAAAAAACTATACCGAAAGCCTCTTTGAATTTCCTTGATGAAGGTTGTGCTCTTAGTTCTCTTTGAAACTTCTTGAAAATTTTCAACCAGAGTCTCTTATTCAACAATATTACACAAAATTGGTGTTAAAGTTTACCAAAAGATCATGGCAAAATTAGCAACCAAAACTAATCATGAAATGAATACTAGAAAACTCTAATTAAATTCTAAATAGAATCCTAAAATAAATTAGCATATTTCTACTACTTTTTATTTCCTTTTTATCACTAACTTTATTAACAAAAAATAGAATGAAAAGAAAATTAATAGGGAAAGAACTTAAAACTCTAAACAGAAGGGGGTGTGGATTTGAGATTAGATGTATGCTTCAGCAAGGTGTTTGGGGCGCAAGGCCCAAGGTGGAGGATCCAGAACCAACATTTATGTTCAATAGCTCCTAATCACACAAGAAGAAAAAAAAGCTAGCGGCCTTTCGGAGATGTACAACAGCGAAGGCCCAAAAGCAAGAGATCACATGGTCCAAATAAAACTACATCACCAAGTTCACTATATGTTTCAGCATTATTTGTATTATTATAAAGAATTGTTGAAAATAAGACTAACAATAAATGGAAAAGGACAAAAGAACTTCCCCATTGCAGTAAGGTTAAGGCAGATGCTTTCAAAAAAATCCCAATCCAATCCAACAATCAATTCTCCATATTCAACAATCTAAAATGATATCATATTGGATATGTTTAGGGTTCAAAAATCATATGTTTTTTTTCGGTTTATTTTGGAACTCGACTCTCTTTCTCTTTGATACACAATGCGGCGCCTGCCATCTCAAACTCGCCGCTCTTCATCTTCTTCAATCACAGAATTCACGGCCGACTTCGTGCTCTTCCACTCAACTTCATTTTCATCCCTTGACGGAATTGCAATAGAACGGCAGTATCATAGTACAAACCTCCATGGAATAACACAAAACTTATACGAAACTCCCTCTGACTCAAATACTACACACGAACCCGACCTCGAATTCTTCCCATTTTTCTTTACATAGGAATCAAATAATTGGGGGTTACAAACCCTAACCTTGATTATGACAATGACGAAGAAGATCACATTTTCCAATGAAGGTGAACTTCAAGTAGGACGCGTCCTTATTCTATTCTTCATTTCTCTGCTTCTGTTTCTTGTGTTGCGAATTTGTGGTTCTTGCATGATTCTGTTGTGTTTCAGTGATGATATTGCAGAACTAGTGTGATGTTAATAAGAATACACTGAAGATCTGATTGACATTGTTGTGTGTAGAAAGTTGGTTCGATTGGAGTTTTTGAAGATCGAAGATGAAAAATGGTGAAGCGATGAGGTTCTTGCAGGGTTGTTGAGGGTGTGAGCGTGATTTCATAGTGAAATAGGAATAAGGAATGAAGGCTCCAGGGAACTTGGGGGAGGATGAAGATGACGAGGTTGCAGAGGCTCGAAGTGTTAAGGTTCAGTGGTGAGGATGAAGGTTGTTAGAAGGTGATAAAGGTGGTGAAGATGGAGAATGGTACGTGGAAGATGAAGTAGAATGAGGGTGAAGAAAAAAGCTTTTAAATTTCTCTGTTGGTGATTCTTCAGCCAGATCGAAGAAAAAAATGAGATTCAAGGTGAGTTTCTGAATCCTTCTCTGTAAATTTTTTGTCAAGTGAATAATCGTATCTCACTAAATGAATCCCCCCTGCCATCTGTTATGGACCCTTATTTTATAGTCTCTTTTTTTGTTGAGTTTGTTAGCAATTAGGAGTTATAGAGTTAGTTAGAAAAGTTGGCATTCTGTTATGGGTGAGAAAGTTAGTTGTTATTCTGTTTCATGAAGTTTGTTATGGAATGGTTAGAGGTTGGTTCGGGAAGTTAGTAATTCAGTTTGCAGGTTAGTTTTGGAATAGGCTGTTAGAATTCTGTTTAGAAAATTCTATTGTGGATTGTTAAAACAGTTGGGATTTTCTGTTGATGTTTGTTAGAAACAGTTAGAAAACTCTCTTGAAGTTTGTTAGCAGTTTGTTAATAAGATGTTGGGCTGAGTTGTTAATTGATTTCTGCTTTCTATCTTTCTATGCAGGGCCTAACAGGTGGATGGGTTAGGAGCTTCCTCCTGAAAATGAGCTTCTTGTTTTGCTTGGGCAGCTGTAATGAGGTTTTTTGGCCAGACCTGTGAGAGCTTGCTGTGATGATGGTGAACGTTGAGTGCATGAAGATGATGTGGAGAAGAATGAAGATGAGAGCAGAAGAGAATGTTTCTTGGCGATTCTTCTGCAGAGATTGAAGAAATCCTGCCTACCATGGTGAGTTTTCGTTTTTTTATAATTCTGTTATGGTTAGGAAGTTTAATTGAAACAGTTAGTTGCAAGTTAGAAATTTGTTAGGAGTTATGGATTTCTGTTTGGCAGTTGAATGAGTTTTAATTTGATTCACATCAGGCTTTATCTTGGAGTATGCTAAGCAATCTCTATTTAGAAAGATATCATAGTTGCTGATCCCTATGCTGCGAACCAAGCCCGATGAGACAAGACCTTCCATCGCATGCCATGTAGTTTCCAAGGATATGGTTGTATCTATACCCAGGACACCATCTTCACCCAAAGAACTATCAGTAGTAAAAACCCCAGTATGCCTTGTGGAAACAGGAAAGTGAACAAGATAGAAATCAAGATAATCTAACTGAAGTTTCTTAAGACTATCTTTACAAGCCTCAACAACATGTCCATGATCAGAGTTCCATAACTTGGTGGAAATGAAAAGATCCTCCCTCTTGACAAGTCCAGTATCAAAAGCTTCTTTAAACGCTTCTCCAACTTCAGTTTCGTTCTTGTAATCAGCAGCACAATCAAAATTACGATAACCGATTTTGATTGAATTGATAATGAGATCTTTGATTTCTTATCCTTGCATTCGCCTAACGCCAAGTCCGATTATTGGCATCTTGAAGCCGTAACATGAAAAATAATGAAGCTAATGTTTAGGCTAGTTTTAGTGTAGCTTTGTGTAATTTACAAAAAAAAATTGTAGTTCCTTTGGAATGTAATATGAATTTTTAAATTCAAAATGAATCATTTAGAAACATTTACATGACTCCTAGAAACAATGGTTGAACGAGCATGAATTTTCGAGTGGACATTTGAACGATGAATGTTGAGATGTTGAATTTGAATGATGTAATGAAGGTTTGGAATGTATTTGGATTGATTTTTTTTTAATGGTATTTGAATGATACTGAAAGTGACAACTTGAACCAAAATAATCAGTTGAATGGAATTATAATGAATGACTATGCCTTGCCATTTGTATCTCATCTTTTGCATTCCAAGAAACCCTTATGATTAAGGTCTCCAAACTCGCTTGAATCAAATTCTCGAAAATAAACCAATGCTTAGACTTCTTTAGTACCATTTGATTATCCTCTAAGCACTTCACTTCATGACTCGGTGAACGAATTCCAACCAACTTGCATATTCAATGAACTAGTCCTGAACTAAAGATATGACATATCATTCAATCGAATCAATAATATTCATGCATGAACTCAGTCTAGACAACAACCTCTCCATATTTCAATTTCCCAAAATCAAAGCCTTTATTCATGTTTGTCTAACTCAATTATCACTCTCCCACGTTATATCTTATATTGTGCTTCGACTTTTTGTAATTCAAGTCACAAACATGTCTACTTGAAAATGTAAGGCTAAAATCCTTAAGAAATTTCCTTGAAGATGATACTTCCTGTCGCACAATATAAGGCTCTCTGAGAAAGTCCCTTGATAAACAAACCCTAATCTCATGATCTTCGACGAAAAACCCGATTGGACCACAATTACCGAAAACCTGGCTTTAATCGCATATAGAAAAATAAACCATGATAGCCTCGTCTCTTGATGAAGAAAGAAATTCTCAATGACCCAGATCACAACCCTAATTCCACTGCCCTCTGCCTGAATGAGAAATCAGCCTTTATCGGACAAGAACGCCTTAATCATTTCGAAACCCTAATATTGCACAACCACTGAACTTTGAACCTTAGGCGCTTTATTGAATGCAAATGTATGTTAATGACCTAATGGAATATGAATGAAAGAGTCGAAGCCAGATAGAAGAAATTAGGAGGAAAATTTTGGGGTGCAACAGTATGCTACACTCATTGAGACCATACTCTCACGATGATTCCGGCCGCAAGAAAAGATTGCTAAACTGGAATTATGACCGATGGAGGATGGTCAGTGATATTGAGAACCTCTAGAACCCGGTTACTATTAATAGGACAGGTTGAACCAACTAAACTGCAAGAGGGTAGTACCTAAACTCCATGCCAGCCTGAAATTTAAGGGCTCTTGTGTGACTTGTTTTCCCTTACCATGTTTGCTATCTGTTATACCTGTGGTGTGTTTTTATCATGACATCATGCATCATGACATCGCATGCATATTTCATTAGACTAACCATTTCAAAGATCGAGGGGATTCATCTTTGTTCTGTTTTGCAGATTATGGCATCTATATGCAGAAATACCATTCGAATCAGCTTCGTGCAGATACCTGCTCAACTTAGAGAGTTGGTTTCAAAGGTTCCTGATACTTCTTCCTTTGTTAGAATACATGGTCATCTCCTTAGCTTGGTCACTTCCAAGTTGGATGAGCAAATAATGAGTGTGTTGTTCCAGTTCTTTGACCTGTTGCATCACTGTTTCACCTTCCCGGACTATCAGCTAGTCCCTACTTTGGAGGAGTTTTCTGATTTACTTGGCATATCTATTCTAGAGCAGACACCCTTTACAGGTTTGGAGATAGCTCCTAGGCCAGAGGATATTGCTTCAGCCCTCCATCTAATAATGGCTGATGTAGTATCTAACTGGGAGACTCGGAGTGGGATTAAAGGCTTCCTGGCTAAGTTCTTGATTGATCAAGCTCAACAGTTCTGGGATAGTTTGGAATTTCAAGCACTTGAAGACGTCCTGGCTCTCCTCATCTATGGCATGGTTCTGTTCCCAAATTCAGATTCTTTTATCGATGTGAACGCGGTCAAGATCTTCATGTCCGGTAACCCAGTGCCTACTCTCTTAGGTAATATTCTGCATGCTCTTTATACTCGTACTGTTCGGAGAAGGGGAACTCTCTTGTGTTGCACTCCGTTACTGGCGAGGTGGTTTATTTCTCACCTCCCAAAATCTCTATTGAAGAATGAGGAAGGTATGGCTTGGGCTTACAGAATCATGTCCCTTGCTCATACGGACATCCTTTGGAGTATTAAAGATATGGAAAAGGTAGCTGTCATTGATCGGTGTGGGGAATACCCAAATGTTCCATTTCTTGGAATTTGATGGGGAATAACCTATAATCCTTGTTTGGCTTTACGACAGTTCGGACGAGCTCGAAGGGACGGTCTTCATGAGCTGCTGCTTCCAGACATTGTCTTTGACTTCAAGGGGGATGTTGCAGGACATCGCCACAGATTTATACGAGCCTGGGACAGGGTGAATATGTCTGATCCACATGAGCTAGGAATTAAGACTTCTCTCCCAATGCAACCGTATCTCAAGTGGGTTCAAGCCCGTGCTCAAAAGCTGGGGATGCCATACGAAGCTGTCTTGCCAGTGATTGTGGAGCATACTGATGAAGAAGGGGTTCCTTATACAATCCTCCATCCTCATATGCCTACTGATCTGGGGGCATTGAAAAGTTATTGGATCCAATTAAGGGAAGAACGGGATACCTACAGAGAGAAGTATCATGAGCAGGAACAGAAGATCCTGAAGCTTACAAGGTAGCTGGAGACTGAGAGGACAATCAACGATTATGTCAGCACGGAAGGAAAATGACCATGGGAGTTCTGATGACTTTTATTGTTTCTAGTTTAGATTTGTTTTTCAGTATTTCTTTTGTAACGCCTTAAGGGCATTTGTTAAACATTGTTTCAAGTTTTAATCTAATAAAGGTGTGTTTTATTTTGGTTTACAAATTTGAATCTCCCTAAGTCTTTGAAATCATTTCATACGCATTCCATTACCATGTAACTCATTATAGGTACCCTTACAGGTTTCTTATCTTCTTCGTTGTTTATTTCAGCACAACATGTCTTCTGAAACACCTACTGATCAAGCTATTAAGGCTCTTCAAGCTCAGAATGCCCAATTCCAGGAAATGTTCCTGAATTTGGCCAAGAGTCAACAAGATCTGAAGACTCTTATCTTGAAGGACAAGAAGAAGAAGATGAAGAAGAAGGTGGTCCTCCTGAATATGGGTCACAGATTTGGGAACAGGTTGAGAAAAGAAGCTGATTTATCTCACTCATATGGAGGGGGAGAGAATCAAGAAGAAAGGAAGGGTCCTAGCCCTATGGTTTCTGACAATGACACAGACTTTGATGAAGACCAGTATCCTCCTGCTGAGGATAGGTATAAACAACTTGAAGACCGGTTAAGCGCAATGGAGATCCAGAAAGTACCTGGGTTGGACTTTGGAAATTTGGGTCTGGCATTTGGGGTGGTGATCCCCCACAAGTTTAAAGCGCCTGTCTTTTCTAAGTACGACGGGGTCTCCTGCCCGAAGTTACACCTCTGCTCGTATGTCAGAAAGATTCAACCATATACTGCTAATAGGGATTTGTGGGTTCATTTCTTTCAAGATAGTCTGTCAGGGACTCAACTTGAATGGTTCTATCAACTGGAAGGGGCTAACATCCGTAACTGGGAGGACCTTGCTGCTGCTTTTTACAAGCAATACCAGTATAATGCCGACCTTGCTCCCACGCGTACTCAACTTCAAGGTATGTCTATGGGTGCAAGCGAAGGTTTTAAGGACTACGCTCAGAAATGGAGAGATCTTGCTGGAAGAGTACAACCCCCTCTGGCTGATAGGGAGTTGGTGGATATGTTTCTTGGGACTTTGTCTGGTCCCTATTTCAATCATTTGATCGGTAGTTCATTGTCTGGGTTCATTGAATTGATTATGACTAGGGAGATAGTTGAGGCCGGTATCAAAAGTGGCAAGATACAGAAAGGTGCTTCATCAAGTACAGAGAAGAAACCTTTCAGAAAAGAAGCTAGTGCAGTATACAGCTCGAGGAGCCAGAACCGACCTGAACGCCGCCAAGCAGTTAACGCGGTAGTAATATCAAGACCTGTTGTTACCCCATAATGCAACACTCAGCAAAGAACGGAAAGACTGCAAAGGCAGTATACTCGGCTCAGTATGACTCTATCTCAAATTATGCCGCAACTATTGAAAACAAATTTGGTGATTCTGAAGGAGGCTCCAAAGAATCCTAGTACTACATCACCGCTGTATAATCCGAACGCCCGCTGTACTTATCACTCTGATAGCCCAGGGCATGATACCAATAAATGGTGGGCTTTGAAGAATAAAGTGCAGGATTTGATTGATGCTAAGGAGATCGAGTTTGAAGCGTCGGAAAAGCCTAATGTCATGACTGCTCCTACGCCCAAGCATGGAGTAAATGTTGTGGATGATGATTCGTTTGTAACCTCTGTGGAAGACATTTCTACTCCGTTGTTGACCGTTAAGAAGAACTTATTATTGGCCGGTTTGTTTCCGGGTTGTGGCAAAGATTGCCACCTGTGTTCCATCCTACCTACTGGTTGCCATCTATTGAAGTCAGGTGTCCAACGCCTGATGGATAACAAAGAAATCTTGTTAGAGAAAACTTTGGTTCCATTGATTCCTATTGAAGATGTTTCCATAATCACCATTTCCGCCAATACTTCCAAGGCTTCCTCGAGAAAGCCTATTATAATTACATTTGTTCTGAGAGTTGCTCCATTAATCATTACTATTCCTGGACATATCCCTTACACGTCGGATAAGCTGTCTCGTGGCACTATGGGGATGATGTGTATTATCATGGGATTAAAAAAGACTTGAAGGTTGAAGAGGATGATACTGATGTCAGCAACATTGTTGGGTCTAGCAAAGTCACCGGAAGCGGAAGACTTTTCTCTCCTGAGATCTCCCCACCAACTGTTCAAAAGCCTATTGCTATTACACCTGCCAGTACTTCTGCTATTGTCCCTGTTCGTGTTCCAATCATTACCCCTGTCGCCGAGTCATCTGACACTTGGGGTAAAGGGATCACAGGTGGGCCTGCCCAGATGGAGGCACCGAAGAAGATTATTGTTGAAACCTCTAGACAGGAGATAGAGGAAATTTTGAAGATCATCAAGAAAAGCGACTACAACGTAGTCGAACAGCTGGGGTAAATCCCGTCGAAGATCTCCATGTTATCTTTATTGTTGTGCTCAGAATCCCATGCTAAGGCTTTGATTGCTTTCCTGAAAACTGCGCATGTGCCGTAGGAGACATCTGCTGACCAGTTCAAAGACTGTGTGGCTAGTTTGACAGCTGACAACGGGTTGGGTTTCTCCAACGTAGATTTTACTGCCAAAGGAAAGAATCACAATGACGCTCTGCATGTTTCAATCGAGTGCAGGGGCACTACTTTGGCCCACGTGCTGGTGGACACTGGGTCCTCGTTAAATGTTTTACCCAAGAAAGCATTAGATCGGTTGGATTGCGAAGGGTTGGTTCTGAAGCCAAGTAATATTGTGGTTAGGGCCTTTTACAGATCCAAAAGGATGGTACATGGAGAGGTGGCTGTTCTAGTTAAGGTTGGTTCCCAGACTTTCGTGTCTACATTCTATGTGATGGACATTCGACCATCTTATTCTTGTTTGTTGGGTCGCCTGTGGATTCATAAAGTTGGGGCAGTAACTTCTATGCTCCATCAGATGTTAAAATATCCAGTGAAAGGGAAAATTGTTACAGTACGAGGAGAAGAGGAGTACATGGTAAACCACCTCAACTCTTTTCGGTATGTGGAGATAGATGGGGAGTTCATTGAAACCGCGTGTCAAAACTTTGAAGAAGTCCCACAGACTCTGGCGTCGACTGAAACTGTTGTTGAAGATCCTCCAATAAAGATGGCTTCCCTCAAGGATGCCCGGGCTATTATTGAAAAAGGTGGGTGTGCGAATTGGGGCCAACTCTCTGACTTTTCACACAAGACTGACAAGTTTGGTTTGGGTTTTACTGCAGAAGCTCAAAGGGTTATTCGGTGTGCGCGAATTGGAAGACATCCCATGCGTATCACTAATCCGGAAGTGAATGCGATTGAAGATGATGATGAAGAGTCTGAGTTTGACGGCTGGATTTACCCGACTACTGACGGTGGATTAAGCAATTGGACGGAAAAGGACTTCGTGCCCATTTCTTTTATTACACAGTAATAGACTTTTTTTTTTAGTTTTGTAACATACAATTTAAAACTTTACGGCCCGGTGCCTTGCCCGAGACACCGTGGCGTTGTTTGAGGGCTTATTATGTGTCATTTCCATATATCATCAATAAAAGCATTGGACGTCTTTCTTGCATTAAAAATTTTGCGCTCCTTGTTTTTCTTTTCTATCTTGCAAAACAGCTATTTGTCTTACACACACTCACATATACAGGTCTACATCCACTCTGGATCCCACTGATAACAATTCTGCTACTGCCAGTTATGACTTCGAAAGTCCGATCAACCAAGCCGAGGACGAAGGTGAGGATGATTACGAAGTGCCTGGTGAACTTGCTAGACTGTTAATTCAGGAAGAGAGGGTCATACACCCCCATGAAGAGCCAGTGGAAACAGTAAATCTGGGAACGGAGGAAGACAAGAAAAAGGTCA